ATATACAATGTAAACTACACCCCAAAACATCCTTTCACCCACAGTTACTACCGTGTTTCACCAGTGTATTCTATTTGACGTCAGGAGAAATTGAAATAAACAAATTAATTATAATTTCAGCCTCTAGTTGACCACTGATTAAATAAACTACCTCGTCTTTATGTCAACTTGCAGTTATTCGTTGCCTACACCAGTGACTTCAAAATATATGTTTCAATCCCAGGAATTTCACTCGCTGTTAATTGCATGGGAGTGGCAGTCTTTAATGAATTTCTATTGTCATGTCAATTTCTTGCGATTACTCGAACATTAAGGCTAGCTGTAACCACATACCGCCTAGGTGCTGTAATTAAATCCTGGTGTAAGCACCATATGAACTATGAACAATGCATGTGAAGCCAGCTGTGGGGTATATTCAATCCTATAGATTTCTCATTGTTTGGTAACTATTTGCTGCAAATGCAACAAAAATCAATATAAAAATATTACCCACACAGCATTCTACAGGTTACTTGTATCATATTAGATATTATTCATTTTCTACAGCAGTTATGTTATCAATATTAATATTACCAGCATTCAAACCATTGTTACCGCAGTTTATACAAAGTTAGGTTGTTCAGAATTTAAAAGACTTGATTTGATCTTACATGTTGAAATGAACATTAAATGTTGAAACGAGTTTATATGACTAAGAGCACATTATGGTTGATCCATTATGTACCACGGCTAGCTGATAACATACACCCTGGTTATGTCGCTGTAGAAGAAGGCGTGTGTCAATTATCTATCTCAGTATGGTGGTGCACACACCATAGTAATATTTAGCTGCAAGTCATCGTCACCAGGGTATGGCATATGATCTGTCAATACATCATGTTTAGGTATACGTGTAAACAAAGTCTTTGGGATCGACTCACCCGCATTCTACAATATGACACGGATCAAAAATGAAAGAAAATAATACCATAGTTTGATAGACATAACTGCTTTGTGATCCGTAAACCAGGTCTCTTCGTTTCAAAGTTCTACTTATAGTCGACAATCGCTATTTTAAAATATCGGAAACCGCTACTGGTACTCGAGTCCAACTTTAGTTTTCTGCGCATGCCCAGCTGCACGGCAGGCTAGAAAACTATAGTAACCCGCAACCCCGCACGTTGATAAAAATAAACACACACAGCTTTTTTGGACTATTGGACCCGCTGTACGTTATGGCGTAGTCGTCCTAAGGGCAGATACAGGCCAGGGAATAGGGGGGGGGGCGTTTCTCGGTCGATGGGAATGCTCCACAGAATATTGAACAGTGAATCAACACATACAAGCTGACAGAAATTGCTGGACGGTTTGACGTTTAAGTGGAAACTCCATTCGAGCCCCGGAAAGAAAACGAAAACGAGAGAGGTCATCCTTGTGCACACGCTGCATATACAGCTGCCCCTATATGTACGTGATGTGGAGCCGAGTTGTTTGCTAATAACGACTTTCTTGTCTATCTTTATCTAAGATCTCCAAATATATGAGGCTAAGTTGGCCCTGTGAGGTATGGTTGAAAAGTAATCAGCCTGGCAATTTTTAAATTTATTGTTGGTGGTTAATCGTCATTTATTTTTCAACAACCCCAAAATAAAAGAAATCTTTTTGACGCTTGTGGTTTATACCATACGCATGTGGAGTTTCAATTTTATATCAGATTCAAATAATAGCAGATTCAAATGTGTGGTACAACATCGAAGCGTGAACACTATAATCGCTGCGTACCTATCCTCCGCGGATAGAGTTACGTCATAAGACGTTCATCGTTGCTGAGACGCGCACCACTGTACCATGTATTTCTATGGGCTCTGCGCGAGCTGCTGTGGAACGCCGGTCGAAGGTAGCTAAATTCGAGAAAACAGCACAAAATCAATAATGAAGTAATCCTGGACAACCAAATTTATATATGTTGGACATGCAGGGGTAATCTTGTTACACTGTTCAGGAGTCTCAACAACCATCCCAAAGTACAGTTTTCTGAGAGTTTTCGGCCTTTGTTTTCATCGTGATGGTTGCAAGGCGGTGAAAATGCCCGGATGTCCGTCCCGAGAATACTGTTATTCGTGATGACCGGTACAAATCATACATCGCATACGAAGTAATATCTTACTATATTGTAACAGAGACAACAAATTTTAACAAATCTTAATAGATAAAAGTTGCTATGGCCGATATATTCGACAACGCAGGTGATATTTGCAACTAAATCATTGTTCTCACTTTCCATTCCAACTAGTAAGATGTTACTTCATTTGTAGCTGTCTGTTTTGGACGATTGCCTAACATCGTCTACTGTGAACAAATAATGAACACGGCGGCATAACACACAGGATTCGAACGTGCCATGTTGTGCCTTGTCGGTCTGTACAAATATAAAAACGCACCTTTAACTCGCAAAGTAAGATCTATAGCCTCTATAACCAGGGTATGAAAAACATCAGATCCACGCCTTGATACGTATCTCCACACTCTTTAGATTTGTACATTTCACTTCTTGCTCTGAGCACATTTCCTTGCATCGAGGTACGTTATCACTGCTGACCGAACCACACCGTTTTCACCACTGTCGAAGTGGTGGTATACACAATCTGGTGAGACTATTATTATTAGTCATTAAAATATACAATATGAATTCAATACCCTCATCGTAAGTTTACCATATGGAAAACTAAATGATATAAATTTATATTTAGTTCACTCATTGACGTACATACCCATACTCAACCTACCTTCAGATAATAACAATTTCCTGCCTATATCTTAAAATACAGATTATATCCACAACACAATCATCGTCATTCATTAATGTTTCATTCAAAATGTAATAATGTTCTAATTTTGAGATATATGTACACCTGTCTACCATCACATCGAGCCACGGTATCAATCTAATACGTCTCTATACCAGCATACGTTAGTGTAATATGATGTTGGTTACAACTATTATAATATTATATATTAATGAATGACAAATAATTCAAATGAAACGAAGAAAGTGTATGACTTCAAGAATATATTGTGTACATCATCAACTGATCAACTTAAAAAAATACTTACAACTTGTGAAAATAGAGCGAGCATGAAAAACGTGAATTATTTTCCAAATTAGATTTATGTCTTTTCTAAATATTTCAAACACAATCATTCAGTAATAACTCCCCACATATTCTATATCATCTTCGATTCCTACACCTTCTATTACTAAAATTTTGTTTCATTTTTTATTTGACATTATTTACATCAATAATTTTCGATTTAATTTATGTTTATATGATCACTCATGATCCGCGATGTATTATTTTATGTGTTCACATCGTGACAGATGATCAGTATTATGATTGATGTACCTGCCGAGATATTTTAACCTGATATCCAGTCTTCATAAAAATTATGGAAACATTAACTTCTTTATTTTAGGTCCACATTTCGTTCATTGACAAGTTGCCACAACAGTTAATACCATATTATATAATATATATGTTACTTTTTCTCACTCAAAACACTACGTACGTGATTTGCTTTGAGTGTTGACTTAATCAAAGCATTTTGACTTGTGCGTTTCGCGTCCCTCCTTCAATGAATTGGAAGCCAACATAATATCATAAAATGAACAGAATCAGATACATGTTAGATACATGAAAATTTACAACAGGTAAAAATTAAAAAATGCACTATTAAGTCTGCAGTAAAAAATCGAAACGTGCAACGTTCACTCAGTTCCAATATGCTCTAATAACAGTGTCGTGTTGTGTTTCATACTGTAACAATCGATAATACACTCTAGTGACCCAGAAATGTTTACGTTTATTTAAAAACTCGAAAAAGATCAAGTACTAACCAAGCACGATAATGGGCAACACTGGGACCATTCACTATACGTTGATGACGCAGTCGAAATGTTAAAACAACCACCATCTGTTCAATGGCACCATTATGTTGTAAAGGGAGAAAGATGACCCTATTGCCGAGCTGTTCATTTGTAGAAACAAAACATATTTATCGTATAGTCTTTAAACCAAATTAAAATATATATCCTGGAGATTATTCCAGAAATACTGAAATAGCGAGTAAAGCCTCGTTAACATATATGTTTTATAGAAGTCAATTTTAATAATGACACCAGTGAATTATCTGAATGGCTCAGCAATAAGTATCGCCCTCTCAGGTCGACAGAGAACAGCGTATCCTAGAATGCATGTTTACACACAAATGCCACTCGATGTCAAAAATGTTGTACAATATTATCATTCATGGATTACTCATCCAATCAAAATTAGTAAAATAATAATGCGTTATAAAGTGTAGCTCTCTCGCTAAGTACAACAAATAATTGTCGTTTTACAGTTAAAAGTTTACTAAGTGACTAAATGTGTTTTTCTCATCTCATCTCAGACGGATGTGTCACGTTCAGAAAAATCTCGTGCCCCCCTCATTGTGGCCCTGGGTCAAATAATGACGTAATTTATGGTTTGAATTTGTGAGAATTTCGGGCAATCATTTCCCAAATTGGTTGTTTATTCGAATTGTATTTGCCAACGCGTGTACGTTTAAGAACACGTTTCAAAATACTACAGGCGACACAGCGTGCGCGTAACATTAAGTCGCATTACGTCATCAACTTGTAGCCTCGTTCAGAGTTCAAGTTTGTTTATGGCGTACACGGTAACCATAAGAATTTTTTTTTTTGGATTTCGCGGTGTTCTGAATAAAATATTTACAGGATGTGATTTTAGTATTTATATTACAACATGCAACAAAGCAGGTGGTGTGACGTACTCGGTCAACCATTTAAATACTACGTGATACTGGAACCAGCAAGTCGTTTTTCGAAACTATAGCGGATCCAGGAGAAGGTTTCCATCAATTTGCGCAAATTGCAAATATGTTTTCAATCCTAAAAAAAAAAGGTTTTTCCACTCAACAACTCCGATGACCGCAACTCACTGTAAAATTATGGCAAAATAACATATATGCTCGTGAAATAAGATGCATTGTAATTAGCGAGAGCTGTTCCACCAATCAGATCACTCGACAGTAATCGTTCGCTTATTGGAACAAACATTGAATGTTTTGGGTATATTCTTCTCCGCACAATCAAAATAGTTCCCCCAAAGGGAATAAAACTGATGACCAATCGTGTACATTTCAGCGCCCATAAACGTCCGCGAAAATATAACATCATGCAACTCACACACTTTAAACTGCTCGTTTACACCCGCCTTACTGAAAAACTTGCCTATTCTATCGAAACCGGAACTACTTTTAAGGACAATGTTTTGACTAGTGATGGCGTTATCTATATCGTATGTTTCTCTTAGTGTGTGACTGATTTTCTGCAAAGCACGTCGGGATAGAATGACGGCCAAGTACAATGAAAATTTCGAGCGAGCTGTTTGTGGTCCTTTGTCAGACTCGCACTGGCAGGTATGTCCCAGACAGGTATAAGCAAACGGTTCGTTTCCATCTGAATCGTGATACTTGCTCAAAAATGAAACTAAATTTCGCAGATTAACAAACGTATCGTCATGTATAAGTACAACAGTTTTTGCTGTCCCACAGTATGTGGTAGCCCAGCGCAACGCAAATGAAGCCTTGTACATTTCGTGCGTTTTGTAGTCAAGGAAACTAGCTTGTATGATATCTTGGTGGATGCGGCTCTCAGATTTGATGAACGACTGGGTGATGATGTCGGAGGCCTTTCCCATCACAAATAAGACCCGAATATGTATCGTGTTAATGACGTCATAGTTTGCCCAAGTCAAACGAATGAATTTTCTCTTGTCGTAGTGTGTGGGCGTAGTCATGACGAGAATAAGAATGTCAATATCGTTTATGAAACAGAGAGTGGGTTTACTAACATGAAGTTCCTTTTCATAAGCTTCTATGCGTTGTAGCGTTTCGTTAGTAAACACAGCTCCGTTTTGTATGATGTCAGACAGTGGTGGCTCTGGCGGCGGGTACGGTCGAACTTCGTAACGTTTACCAAAGTCGTCATCATTAGGGCACTTGCATGGTATCGTTCCATCTGCACATGCACGAGTGTTGTTCCATTGGTTCCAGAGCTCCCCGTGGCTAAAATGATGAGCGGAAAGCGAGGAGGCAAGTCCGCACGGTGTCTGGTACAATTGATTCACGTTGTCAAATGCTGAATACGGCGTCGGGTAGATCCGAAGTCTGGATAAGAGCGCCCCCATAAACACGTCCTCCCACGGGAACAGGGAGATTGTGAGAGATGCATAATATGTAATATGTGCTACATCGGGAGAAACTATATAGACCTGTCCTGAGTTGTATGACGGGTAAGTAGCGTATGGCCACGCCTCTTCCGGTGTGTACCATTTGCTTTGAACTTCTCGAATAGGCCGACTGCCAACACGAGTATCACCAAGGTAGAGATTATCTCTTGGCGCAGTGCTTAAAAGCGTCAACATGTTTGTCCAATTTATGTAAACGTCATCGTCAGACTTGATGACGTAATGAGCTCCGGGACAATGTACCGTTGCCCATTTCATCAATGATACTGTCTTAAAAGTCAGGTTTCTGTAAGTGTCCTGAAAATCTCCTTGTATAATGTCTCCATACCTCGCATTCTCTTTCTCGAGAGATAATTGTATTTTGGCGAGTTTTGGTCGACCCACAAAAAATAATGCCACAACCTGTCCCGTTTGTAGTTCTCTCAGGTGACCCGGATGCGCCCATGTCTGCCTTATGGCTTTCCTCTCGGCTGTGTGACTTGGGGCGGTCATAATGCCAACCAAAAGTGTCAACGTCTCCCCACCAAAGGATGACTGATTTTGGCGTGGCGGTAATTCGCATTTTGATGGGTGATTCAATACGAAGGCGAAATTGTTTCGAGAGCCGATGTTTGCATCTGACTGTCCTGGTCTTACAACGCGTTTGAGGGAAGTTCGCGAGATGTCGTTTAGGAACATTCCTGTGCGAGCATTGCAGTTTAAATATTCTGTCCATTCTTGTAATCCTTTCCATGAACGGTAAACTTTTTTACTTTTCATTTGTCCTACCGTGAACAATTTATGAAGAGCACAGATACGTGGATCAGCGTGGTAAGGCATAAACGCGTCATCGTGGCGTATTGGTATTCCACACTCGTGAAACATAATACCCAGGGTTATTTCACCCGATTCCGCCATTGTTCCAACAGCAAATACTCTCATCACTTCCGCGACCACGTCACGTGATATAACATATGCACTGGAATCAGGATGAGGTGGGAAATAATCATAAGACCAGTTTTGAATATTGTAATAACTTGTGACATGTGGGAATTTCAGTGATTTAGTATGGTTATGGAGATGTCCCATAACTAGGAGACTTCGCGATGCTCTCTCGTGTAGGTATTTGACCAGACGTTCGGTGTGAACAAATGTGTTGCCCTTGGTTACTAGGATGTAACGTGCAGTTGGACAATATAGCTGAGTCCATTTTAATGCGGTCAGTAATTTTAATGTATCGTTTTCGTTTCTGTTGTTCAGACCGATTGTCAGCAAATCGTAATATTTTGCACTTTCGCTCATGATACTCTCTCGTTCTTTCTCA